TATTTCGAGTGCCTCCGAATTCATTTTTCGGTACTAACAAATGCCCCCTGGAAAACATTTGTTTCGAAGTAACTGAGAAAGAATGTTTTTCAACGCCTCAACTCTCTTTCTCTGATAAGACCCTAGAGTGTTGTACTCTTCGCGAGAATTAAATGCCCCTGACATCTTTTAATTCTGAATTTTTCCTTTTTTCTTTGTAGAGCTAGAACCATTAATCCTTCTCCGAACTTAGCTTTATGCAAGCCTAGGTCACATTGAAGCCTTTTGGAGTCTCCATCCTTGAAGATCTTCCAAGGAATTCCGTGAAGGCTTGAAGCATTCTTGAGATTTCCAAGAGGAATCTCATACTACATACTTATAGGCCTGTAAAATTTACCCGTTGCATATGTCCGTTGAAGCTAATATAGTCGTTCATGACTAGTTTGATCCTTTCATTTAATGCACTTGATCTTGCATTAAATGTTACTTCCTATTTATGAACAATGTGTGTACTGTTCTGAATCTGCAGATTCTAACTTTCACAAAATCCTGGGATTAGCTACAGAGACGTTATCTTTATCAGAAAAGTAAGCGTTCTTTTTCTGACACACTCGGGATTTGACGTTTTGTGCTTACTTTCCTTCTTTCTTATTGTCTTCTCACAATTTCGATGACTTCGTGTGTTCTCTTGTGAGTGTGGAGGATATTCAAATTATCCTTTGAAAGTTGATTCCTCAGGTGATTGCGTAATAATTTTCGTCTGTGTCTGGTAGTCTATATGTAGCTCAAGCCTTAACCTTTGTCTGAGCATTTGTTATTAGCACATTGACTTTTCTTTTTGGTCTGGTCAACTTGTATATGGTCAAACTTTCAAATTTTCTTTGACCAACCTTCATCTGAGTCTTTATGTTTCGCTTTAGGTTGTGCTTGACACGTTTTTGTCTTGTTCTTGATTTGGCTGATTGGATGCTTGTGTTGGCCTTTCGTCTGTCGTCTTGTATCGTCTGATGCATATGCTTGTTCTTCACTTTACCTGTACTTATGTTCTTCTGAAACACTAACATACTTGTTTGAGATAACCACGTACATTATATTTGTCACACTCAAAACCTTTCTGAGAATTGCTTCGTTTGACTTAACAAGTACTATATCAAACTCAACTATTTAGAAGTTTAAAAAATGAGTCACTTGAGTTTTAAAATGAAAATCGTTATTTAGTGTTTTCTACCTAAAGTAATCAATTATTAAGTGGTAATAGATTATTTTGTTCTTCATGCATATGAAAATCAACAAAAAAATAATTTAATTGATTATTTTGTTATTTAATCAATTATTCATGATGCCATTTTGGAAATAATCAATTATTTTGTCAGATAATTGATTATTTCAATAATGATTTCTAAGTCACTTAAAAATGGGAAAAATAATCAATTATTTTTAAGAATAATCAATTATTTTAAGTAAAAACTTAAAACTTCAAATTTTCCATTTCAAATCAATTTTAAACCTTAAATGTGATAATCGTCAACCAATTAAGAAGATAATAAGATAACCTACGATTTAAACACATGAACAAAGCAAAACAACCAATATAAGTTGCACTTTCTCATAAAAGGTTTATTCTAAACTAAATTATACACATTTATAATCATTAAAATCTTTAGCTTTCAACTTGTTTTTGAATAAGAGTTATATCATATTTAAACCACATAATAGAAACTAAAAAGTCTAAATATTATTAATGGAAAAAGAGTCAAACAAAGATTAAAGATTAATGTGTGTATATAGAGATTCATTTATTCTAAGATTAAGTCTTGGTAGATTTATCTAAGATTTATTTTACTTAATAACTTATGTTTTACATTAAATTTCAATGATTTGATCATTAAATCAAAGGTTTTTAATATATTGATCAATCCTACAAATTTTAAAAGAAATTGAAAACTATTTCATATTTTATTTTATTGATTCAAATTGACAAATTATGTGTATGTATAGAGAGTGATGAGTGATTCATTTACTCAAAAAGTATGTCTTGATAAACTTACTCTACTCAATAACTGTATTCTAAATTAAATTCTAATAATCCAATCGTTAAATTAAAAAATTTTAATGTATAAATCAAGTCTACTAAATTTTAAAAAATGTAGAAACCATATGATATTTTGTTATAGAGATTTAAATGAATGTATAAAATACTTTTATAATTATCCGTTAATTTAAATTGATAAAACGAAGTATCAAATAGTTTCTAAACTTTTTTAAAATTTGTGAACTTGATCTTTATATTAAAAACTTTTAATTAAACATAAAATTAAATGTAAAACATAAATTATAGAAAATAAATAAATTTATCCAAACTTATTCTTAAAATAAATGATTCCTTTTGAACTCAACTCATAATGCGTGATTCCATCATCAAAGATGCTTCTAAATATGTTAGATAATAATTATAAGGCTAAAATCCTATTTTAGTCCCTTATAATTTTTTTTTGTTTCAATTTAGTCCCTCATTAATTTTTGGTCTCAATTTGGTCCCAAACTAATTAATTGGTTTCAATTTAGTCCTAAATTAATTAATTGGTTTCAATGTGGAACTTTCCGTCCAAATTGCTTTAACGGTGTTAACTTTTGGCCACGTGGACGCCACGTAGATGCATACGTGGCATCCACGTGGATGAGAATTTTTTTGAAAACACCTGGACCCAGAACGGCCCGTTCTGAAACCGGAACGGGCCATTCTGGGTGCACTTTTGGTGTGTTAATTTTGCATCCGGAACGGCCCGTTCCAAGTGCAAAATTAACACACCCAAAATGCACCAGAACGGCCCGTTCCAGTTTCAGAACGGGCCGTTCCGGTTTTATTTTATTTTTTTATATATAAAATATTAATAATTTTATAAAATATATATTATTAATTATATTTTAATTATGTTATTATATCCAATAAAATAAATATATTAATATTTTTTTTATATTTTATTTTATTATGTTTATCTTATTAATTTTTATCATTTTATTCCTTTAATCTTAAATAAGTTGCAAAAAATTATAAAGTGATATTCCTTTTATCTTATTAATTATTATATTTTTTAATAAAATTAATTAAGAATATTGGTTTAATTGCATTTTTTATCCCTCAAGTATTACAATTGTGCAGTTTTGTGATCTCCAAGATTTTAATTGCATAATTTTAGTCCTTAAAGAATTGCAATTGCGCGATTTTGGTCCTTCAATTTTTAATTGAACAATTTTAGTCCCTCAAATATCATAATAGTATGATTTTTGTTTCTCCCATTAAAAATTAATAATTTTAATATATATATATATATAGTTTTAAAATTAAATAATTATTTATCTATTCAAATTAACGTATATTATAATTTTCGATATTATATCAATAATATTATTAATATATTTATAGATAAACTAATAATTTGATAAATATAACTTGTTATATATTAATATACTTTTACAAAAATATAAGTATATTAATTAGAAATATATATCTGATCTTATATATTTATATTTTTGTAAAAGTATATTAATATATATTAAGTTATATTTATCAAATTATTAGTTTATTTATAAAAAGGGTAAAAATATTATTGATATTAATTTATCAGTAATATTAAAATACTAATAATATATAAATTTTATTTATTTAGTAATAGTAAATATATATCATTTGATACATTAAAAAAAATAAATATACGTTAATTTAAATAAACAAACAATTATATAGTTTTAAAACATTATATATATATATATATATTAAAATTTTAAAATTATTAAATTTTTAATGAGAAAGACTAAAATTCCACAATTATTATATTTGAGATATTAAAATTGTTCAATTAAAAATTGTGAGACTAAAAGTACACAATTATAATCTTTTAAGGACTGAAATTACTCAATTAAAACCTTAGAGATCAAAATTGCATAATTATAATATCAAAAACACAATTAAGTAAAGAATATTTTATTCACAGTTCTGGAAGCAGAACGACCCGTTCTGATTTCAGAACGGCCCGTTCTGCTTCACTAGTGGTGTTTTAATTTTGCAACCAGAACGGCTCGTTCCGGTTTCAGAACGGGCCGTTCCAGGTCCAGGTGTATTAAAAAAAAAATTCTCATCTACGTGGATGCCACGTATACATGGCCAAAAGTTAACTCCGTTTAAATAATTTGGACGGAAGTCCCACATTGAAACTAATTAATTAATTTGGGACTAAATTGAAACCAATTAATTAATTTGGGACCAATTTGAGACCAAAAATTAATGAAGAACTAAATTGAAACAAAAAAAGATTATAAGGGACCAAAATAGGGTTTTAGCCTAATTATAATAATACATGACTACTTTACTCATAAACATATATATTCTTTATTGGACAAAGACAAAAACATATACATTCTTACCCTCGTAACAAAAACTTGTGTGCAGGCTGAACACAAGTTAAAAAAGAAGGACCCATTTGGAAAAGGCCCAATGGAATAATAACAGACAATTCAGATAACATGATCGTTACCTCAACCGAAACATGTGGCAGAGAATAACTACCTCTCTGCAAACACGATCATCACTCACACACACTCACACCACAGCCATGGCCACTCTGAGCTTCAACCCCGCAAGAATAAGAACCTCAATCTTCAGAGATTCCAAATTCCCTTCTCCGCCGAAGCCCATGGCAGTCCCCAACCGCTCCAAACCGCTCCACTTCGGAGCCCGTTCCGTTTCGGAGAGCACCCAGAAAGAGGCATCACGATCACGCGAAGCGGCTGTGGAAGAAACAGAGGAAGAGGACCCAAGTGCGGAAGTGAGCTACGTTGACCCGGAAACGGACCCTGAGAGCATTACGGAGTGGGAACTGGACTTCTGCTCGAGGCCCATTCTCGACGCCAGAGGGAAGAAGGTTTGGGAGCTGCTTGTGTGCGACAAAACGCTGTCGTTGCAGTACACCAAGTACTTTCCCAACAATGTCATTAACAGCGTTACGCTCAAGGACGCTATTGTTGCTGTTAGTGACCAGTTGGCTGTCCCGTTGCCCAGAAACATTCGCTTCTTTAGGTAATGCCACACTCTCAGTCCTGTCTTGTCTTGTATGTCTGTGTTTGGATAAAATGTTTAGTTCAACTCTACCCACTTTTATTTTAAAGTAATAACAACTTGTTGCTTTTGGATTTTATGTATTGCTTTGAAATAGATATCCAAACACACCCTGTGTCATTGGTACGGAGTATCTGTTTGGATAAATTTCTCTATAAACACTTCTGACAGAAAAAACTATTAAAAAAAGTGAAATAAGTTTTTCATAACTTAAAACCATGTATAAGTTTATTTATAATTTTTTGGAGAAATTATATGATAGAGCTTTTATAAATTAAAATAAACCCAAGTATTTATCAGTTTATGTGATGATTAATCTTCGTCAGAAAATCTAGTTGACCAATTTTAGTGGGGTTTCTTTTTCTGGGCATTTTCTTTTTTCATTTATAAGACTTGAATTCGAGACCTTCATTTTGACACCCCAACATTATCCGATGCTTAGAACAAAAAATATATAGGTATAATAGGTTATTTAATGTGATAGGAAGAGAGATCGATAGAAATTAAAGGTGTTGATGAGGTGTTTAAAAATTTGGAGTTTCTGAAAATCATTGCAATATGAAATATGTTGGTTAAGTGTTTTGTTGCTTTGTAGGTCGCAGATGCAGACAATTATTACAAATGCTTGTAACGAGCTTCGCATAAGGCCTATTCCTAGTAAACGGGTATGTATGGAGAAATTACTGTAGATAAATGTTATCGACACTCTATTTGATACTTTTTTTCTAATACTTTTTTTATTGCCGGTTGAAAATCACAAATGTAAGTGAGTCCTATCACTAAATCAAATTTATTAAAAGTTTCCAATAAATTTTAGTAGATAATATAGTGAGTGTTCCAGAGTGTCACTAACATTCTTCATTAGTTTATGATCTGCGACACGGCACCATGCATCTATGGTCCCGGCTAATCTTAATGTGACACCCAGCCAGCTTTATTAGTTTTTTCCTTCTTATAAATTGAAAATTTTGACTGGATGTCATATGAAAATTGGTTGGGACTATAGACAAGAAATGTGGTGGCATCTGATCATACAAACCAAAGTGGTTTGTATGATTTCAAATTCAACTTTTACTGGGGCTGTGAATATTTTATTGCTTAGAATTTGAAGTCGGTTTGATGTGTTGAATGACTGAATGTGAATGAGACCTTATTTTCCATGGTCTTATAATATGATGGCCTTAACTTGTCTGTTAGGTGAAGGTGCTGGTAATAGGTTTCATGTCATGGAAAGTGTCTATGTTCTCTAATAAACTTATGAAAGTGAGGAGGAGGAAGTAGTTGTTACTGTTTGCTTTGGTTGGAAATCTAATGGTGAGTCGAATGGAATGGAGTGGAACAAAGTTATCATTTTATTGTTTACATAATTAACGGTGGAATTTTGAGGAGAGAGAGAGAGAGAGAGAAAAGGGTTTCATTTCATCTTGTATCTCAAATTGGAGGGGAAGAAAAGGAGAGCTTAGAGTTAGAAAGGTATCGGATAGAATGTAATGCATCTCGTTGGATTATATTTTATTCCATGATTTCCATCCCATTTTAAATAAAACCAAACAAACTAACCTCGTATCATTCAATTCATTTCCTTCAATCCAAACATAAGTTAGAGCATGTAAAAAGTAAAAACTTGGTTTCTTTCCCCTTGTTTCTATTCCATATTAAATAGTGGTGTATGTTTTTGTTGATCATGGGATAGAAACAAACATAATGGGAACAAAGAAGATCGACATTTACACCATTTTGTTGAAAACAGTAATTTTACTTTTGGATTCATGTAACATGTGAAGTTTTTCACAACATATATATATATATATATATATA